ATTCAAAACTACATACAATGACATAATTGACAACCGTTTTATCGTCATTCAAAACTACATACAATGACATAATTGACTACCGTTTTATCGTCATTCAAAACTACATACAATGACATAATTGACTACCGTTTTATCGTCATTCGAAATTATATATAATGACATAAGTGACTACCGTTTTAATGTCATTTAAAACTACATATAATGACATAAGTGACTACCGTTTTAATATTTTTGAAATCCATACATAATGACAGAAGTGACCAGAGGCCAAAGGCATGAAATGAGTTAATAAAGGCCACCGCAGGTCCTGTACAAGGATCTTTAATGTGGGTTGAGGCTCCAATCCTGTTCTTTGTGTTCTATTTTCATCTCGACGAAAAGTCGCGGCTGAAGTGATTCGTACCGACTCAAAGTAGTTACCTTTAACGAACTTTGCCCTGAATCGGTACAAACCGCCCCTAAACCACGCTGGACGCTCTTCACTTCCAAAACTATTGTCGTTTTCTTAGGAGATGTACAATAAAAAATTACAAACAACAACAACTCACACATCTTAAGATACAAACATTAAAAATGAACTTAATAACTTTGAACTAGAAACATTATCATTCATTCTTGCTTGTTTTTTTTTGGATTAAAAATATTTTAAAATGCGAGAAAACTCGTCATTTTCGTAAGATACAGAATTTTATCTTCAAAATGATTTTTGGTAAGAAACAAGATTTCCAAAGATTACTTTAAGCTCATTTTCTCCAAGCAGAATGTTGAAAATAGTTTAAATCTGTGTAATGTCTCGAGCTGGAAGTCGATGGGATCACGTACTTCCGTGTAATGTCTCGAGCTGGAAGTCGATCGGATCACGTACTTCCGTCTCGAGCTGGAAGTCGATCGGATCACGTACTTCCGTCTCGAGCTGGAAGTCGATCGGATCACGTACTTCCGCGTAATGTCTCGAGCTGGAAGTCGATCGGATCACGTACTTCCGTGTAACGTCTCGAGCTGGAAGTCGATCGGATCACGTACTTCCGTGTAATATCTCGAGCTGGAAGTCGATCGGATCACGTACTTCCGTGTAATATCTCGAGCTGGAAGTCGATCGGATCACGTACTTCCGGAACGAGAGTTATTACATTTACTTTCAGTTTGTTCAGTTCTAATAACTACAAAAAAAAGAAAAAAAGTCTGGGGTGAAAAGTCTTAGCTCAGTAAAAACAAAACAAGAAACTAGTCGGAAGTGAAAGGATTTGATCAATTTTAATTTCTTTCAGTATCTCTAATTGGAACGAAACCAAAATACCATAGTAACAAGTAAGGTGGCGCTCATTACAGTGAAATCAAGCGTTTGTTGATCTTACGAGTCGTTTAACGACAGATTAAACAGGGCAATTTCAGAATAAATAAAGACTTTAAAACGACGTCAAGAAATCCGAACCTTACGCTTTGATAACCTGTAAAGAAGTGTATTGAGCAAGTAAACTAAGTTTAAGACAGGTCAAAGTCCAGTTGTCTAAAGTTTATCTTGTTATTACCTGCGTAGTTTCTGGATTCCATGTAGATCCGTTCTAGAGCCAAGTTGATTACTTAATAGTTGAAGGGATCGGAGCTCTAGCCATGTATAAGAGAATCTTCTTGTGCGCTTGATAATAGAGCAGCGGTTTCACATGTAAAAGCGCGTTGATTGGCTCTTTGATCCCCGCCTCGGAAATATACGGCAAACAGGGTTCTTTGGGCATACACTCGCTTTTATTAATATAGAAACTGGGTCTCCCTAGAGTGTTAGATGTCCTTTGAGAAAGAAGACTTCCCTCGTGGAGCTGAAGCTTTTACGTCGTGAATACTTAGTTTGTATGAATACACTGTACACACACACAAACACTTCGCATACATCCAAACTTCGCTTCAATAGTTGTTCACTGGGGAATTATAATTATAAAATTACAAGAAAGACAATACAAATTCAAACGTTCAGATTATGCACCCCCCCGGAAACGTTGCTAAGCAACCAGCCCTAGAAACGCGTGTATTTATAAATTAGAATTATACGTTTTGCGCAAGTCCGATTGTATTATCTATTTTTGACGTTACTGTTGAAAGTGGCGTCAAAACAGGAAGTTATTGCGACATAAGATGCTTGATGAGCCATGACAGCACGAGTATTTTTGAGAAAAAATAAATGCGAAGTCAAACAATAGATGGCAGTGTTGATATTTAGCTCAACTATTCGCATACTATCGTATCACGAAGAATGGTTCAGGCCGAAACATTGAGATAAGTAAACAACACTGCCATCTGTAGTTCGGATTTTTATTTTCCTATTTTGCGAGTTACTTTAACTATTTTAATATTTTTTCCTTTATTAATTAAATATTACAAACAATTCTGCGTTTGAAGTATTTTCACCAGTTGTACGTGAGTCACCTACATTCGTTACTTCGTATATAAGTTTACAAGAAATCCTGCGATCAGATCGGACGAAATGTTCTGTTACAAAAATATGACAGATCTGTCACGAGTAATTCATACGAACTACGAAATAACTGATATATTCTGTCAACATGAGTGTTTGTCTTGCGAAACGTATACAGTCATTAAAACGCGGTACATGAAAACAATACCGCGTTTATTTAAGTTATACACGTCTAAGATATTTACAAGAACATATTTTCATATGCTGTCACGACAGGATCAAACCAGGCACAGTATAACTATAGAATCATCGGTGATGATTCTATAGTTATACTGTGACTGGTTTGATCCTGTCGTACAGGATCAAAACAGTCACAGTATAACTATAGAATCATCACCACATGATCAAACCAGTCACAGTATAACTATAGAATCATCACCACAGGATCAAACCAGTCACAGTATAACTATAGAATCATCAACACAGGATCAAACCAGTCACAATATAACTATAGAATCATCACCACAGGATCAAAACAGTCACAGTATAACTATAGAATCATCACCATTTTGTATTTATGTATAAAAACACCGCTTTTCAACTGAAATTCGAAACTACTTTTTGATCAAAGTGTATTTATTTATTTATTTATTACAGAGGAACATGAGAAATCAAAACGTCGCACGTAAAAGGAAGTGGCTTTCCTTGACCACGTAAAAGGAAGTGGCTTACCTTGACCACGTAAAATGAAGTGGCTTACCTTGACAAAAGCTGTCCAATCACTACCGTCTCTCAAGATACATTGATTGGTTGAGCACGTGCAGCTTGCAGCAGACCCCCCAAGTGTCTTTGAATTTCGTAATTAAGTTCCAACATCAAAACAGATGCTAAAGAAATGCCTCTTCCTTGACAATAATGACAGGAAATCATGCTTTTTGTCCTCGATGTTTAATATCTTTCCACATCCTTGGATTATTCATCTCCTGTCATTATCGGAACAGCGGATCGAAAAGCTTAGAACAAAATAAAGATCCTCTAGGATGGATCTTATTTATAAATTAATCTTAAGGTGATTACCATCGTGTTAATTCATTAGAAAACCTCACCCATCATTAACTAAGATATGGTGTGTAGTACAGCAATTTTATTTTTTACCTGTATGTCTTTTTATTTTACTCTGACGTCTTAATCAGAGCATATATTTCTATTTTATTCTGGCATCTTAATCAGAGTATGTCTTTTTATTTTATTCTGACGTCTTAATCAAAGTATGTATTTTCAGGGTATGACGTCTTAGTCAGAGTATGTATTTTCATTTTATTCTGACGTCTTAGTCAGAGCATATATTTCTATTTTATTCTGGCGTCTTAATTAAAAATATGACTAACTATTGGTTCGTTAATAAGATAAAATATGACTAACCAGTGGTTCATTAATAAGATAAAAATATGACTAATTATTGATTCGTTAATAAGATAAAAACATGACTAACTATTGGTTCGTTAATAAGATAAAAACATGACTAACTATTGGTTCGTTAATAAGATAAAAACATAACTAACCAGTGGTTCGTTAATAAGATAAAAATATGACTAATTAT